TTTATCATATCAGATATTTTAATTATCAGGGAACTAAAGTAATTTATCATATAAGGTATTTTGATTATCAGGGAACTAAAGTAATTTATCATATCAGGTATTTTAATTATCAGGGAACTAAAGTAATTTATCATATCAGATATTTTAATTATCAGGGAACTAAAGTAACTTATCATATCAGGTATTTTAATTATCAGGGAACTAAAGTAATTTATCATATCAGGTATTTTAATTATCAGGGGACTAAAGTAATTCATCATATCAGGTATTTTAATTATCAGGGGACTAAAGTAATTCATCATATCAGGTATTTTAATTATCAGGGAACTAAAGTAATTTATCATATCAGGTATTTTAATTATAAGGGGACTAAAGTAATTTATCATATCAGGTATTTTAATTATCAGGGGACTAAAGTAATTTATCATATCAGGTATTTTAATTATCAGGGGACTAGTGCTTCACTTATTTCTAGAGGGATAAATATTTTAATCCTGGAGTAGTGATGTCTAATGACAGTAGTTTTATTATAAAAGAGTGCCATTGTTTCCTTCCCTTTAGGAGCACTAGAGTTATGAGCACTTAAGTAATATAAGTTACATATTTAAGTCATTTATTCACTCGGGTGTTTTAATCGTTACTGTTCTGTATGTTTTTGACTTGGTTTGTTTTGGACACTCACGCAAAAATATATGTGCTATCTGCGCTAGCGGTCCTTAATTTCGAATTGATAGACAAGAGAGAAGGCAGCTAGTCGTCAGACTTTACTGTCATCTCTTGGGCTACTATAATCAAATAATGGAATTCGACTGTCTCCCTTATAACACAACAACGCCCCCAAAATGCGGAGCGCAAGTTTATCCGCAAGAACGGGATGCAAACTGTAAGCCCTCAGATTCATAGTCCGACACGCTAACCACTAGGCCACCCGCTCTGTTTTGCGTATTTATGCTGTTATGTTTTTAAAGGGTTTTCAGTACCAGTACGGGTTATTCATCTGGCTTTACTTTAGTATATTCTACAGAGTACTAGATGTTTGATCACTTCTGTTATTTCTAGTGGTTTTCTCACATTATTTTAATTTATACTTATTATCTACTTACGTCAATAATCTTTGTCTTAGAGCACTACAGTTTTAACGATGTGAATATTTTATCTCATCAATTACTTATATTTTACATACATAAGTAATCATTTCCATAGGGTGCTACAGTTTTAACGATGTGAATATTTTATCTCATCAGTTACTTATATTTTACATGCATAACTAATTATTTCCATAGGGTGCTACAGTTTTAACGATGTGAATATTTTATCTCATCAGTCACTTATATTTTACATGCATAACTAATTATTTCCATAGGGCGCTACAGTTTTAACGATGTGAATATTTTATCTCATCAGTTACTTATATTTTACATGCATAACTAATTATTTCCATAGGGTGCTACATTTTTAACGATGTGAATATTTTATCTCATCAGTTACTTATATCTTACATACATAAGTAATTATTTCCATAGGGTGCTACAGTTTTAACGATGTGAATATTTTATCTCATTAGTTACTTATATCTTACATACATAAGTAATTATTTCCATAGGGTGCTACATTTTTAACGATGTGAATATTTTAACTCATCAGTTACTTATATTTTACATGCATAACTAATTATTTCCATAGGGTGCTACAGTTTTAACGATGTGAATACTTTAACTCATCAGTTACTTATATTCTTGCATACATAAGTAATTTTTTCCATAGGGTGCTACTGTTTCAATTATCTAAGTAGTTTATTTAATAAAGTGGTTATAAATTATTCACTTCAAAGTTTCATTTTACAGAATACTTATATTATACTTGGGTACTTTACTGTGCAGAATATGTGCAACAATGGTGCTTAACGATGTATTCAATGACCGAATACTCATGTCTTACTTACTTGAACTCGGATATACTGAAGAGTAAGGTTGGCATCTGATTGAACATAGGAGTAAGAAGAGCTACAGTTAACATTGAACCGAAAGTTCCTATACCAAGCAACAGCTTCCCAACAAATGGTTTTCTGAGAAGAAAATCACTCACATTGTACTCCTTTAAACTTAATAAAATTAAACTTAATATTGAAAAGTTTAAAAAACGTGTGAGGTAACTACCAATCTTCAGAATTTTACATAAAAATGTAAACATTTTCAGTCCTAAAATATTGTTGTTTAGCTATTTATTTGTAGTCATGTTCTCTTGCATAACATAAAAATATACTGCTTAAATAATATTTGTTTATATTATATGACTTATATACAAGTCCTAATCATACCTTTTAAAAATAATAACATTTAACTCTTATCAACGACTGTAGTTCTTGTTAATCTATACTACCAAAAGCCGTCAGTATTAGTACCTGTCACCATGGGCGTCCGCAGGGGAGGGCAAAGAGTGCACTTGCCCCCCCCCCCCATGGAAAATGAGAAACATAATTATTTCTTTATTCATTCAGCATATGTATATGAATTTTTTTATTCGCTTCACAATTTCACATTATTTTGCCCCCTCCTCCGGAAAAAAATCTCTGCGGACGCCCATGCCTGTCACAACATATTAAAGTCCCAAATTTGTACACGGACAGAGAGAGAGACCAAATGGATTTTTTTATGGTGAACTGAATGATTATAATAAAATTGTCAAATTTCTCTGTATCTTTAACACCATACGAATAAACGTAATTTTGTACGTATAATGAAGACTAATTTGATTTCAATTACATCTTTTCAGTTCTTTACATCATTTCAAAACGGTAAATATGTGTTAATCCTCAGTTAATGGAAATAAGCACATTCCTCTTAATGTTCAGTCTCTTGGTGTTAATGTAAAATTTTCAGTCATATCTGCCTTTTAAAAGTGCTTATGGAAATGCTAGCTCAATTAATACTTAATCCAAAGTAAATGTTGTGGTCATTTTATGGCTGTGACACACTTGATACTATAAATCTCAATTTAAATATCTTTAATGCATGCACGCCTAATCTATCTCCAGTTATCACCTTTGTTCAGTTCGAGGATTCAATAGATAGCTCCAGAAGTCCACGCAGCATGTTTATGCATATGGCTTTCAAAACATTGTATTGTGTGTTTATAGTTCTATGTTTCAATAGACACAACTTGAAATATATACAGCATGATTTACATTTCTAAAACATTGTATCGTGTGTTTATAGTTCTATGTTTCAATAGACACAACTTGAAATATATACAGCATGATTTACGTTTCTAAAACATTGTATCGTGTGTTTATAGTTCTATGTTTCAATAGACACAACTTGAAATATATACAGCATGATTTACGTTTCTAAACCATTGTATCGTGTGTTTATAGTTCTATGTTTCAATAGACACAGCATGATTTACGTTTCCAAAACATTGTATTGTGTGTTTACAGTTCTATGTTTCAATAGACACAACTTGAAATATATACAGCATGATTTACGTTTCCAAAACATTGTATCGTGTGTTTATAGTTCTATGTTTCAATAGACACAGCTTGAAGTATACGCAGCATGTTTCTACTTTAAAACATTGCATTGTGTGTTTATCACGTTCAACTGATGCCCTTTTACTTTCAAAACTGTCATACGAAATGTAAAGTTAGCTTACTATACATAGTTACTAGTGCGTCATATCTTTTTTTCTGAGTTGTTATGATTGCTTTGTTGTTGTTGTTTTTTTTACTGCGTTATTTAATCAGTACAAATATCACGTAACAACTATGTTAAGTACAGTTGGTACGTTTACGTCACGTCTTATCTGGGATGACGTTTCCTTAAGTTGGGGTACTTATAAACTGTAATAAACTGACTTACCGGTATAAAGTCATTATAATGACTGGAGACAAAAGAAAGAACTGCATATCACAAGCCAGGTAGAATCCATGGGGTAAACACTGCCGAAAACAGAAAGAAGGGTATATCACATTGTTTAGATATCCCTTACATTTTATTACCGCATATTTTTCAAAAGCTATACAACTTTTATAAAGAGCGTACTTAGACTAGAATGAGAAAGGTGATAATATTATTCCTGGTTGAACATATATTTAATTCTGGTTAAAATATACCTTGCTTTGCTATTGGCTATCAGCGTGGTAGTTTTTAACTTTGACTAAATAATTATTATTAAAAATGGCAGATAAGAAAAACTGAAAAAGAGTACAAACCAAAAACGAATAAAAGACGTATATTTCGATCAGGATTACACAAATTACACAGAAAGTACCTAATCACTTTTAACAACTATTAAGTGCTATGATTTCGGGATGTAACTGCTGTCAAGTTCACAAGCTTTAACTATTAGCATGTAAGTCAAAACTAGTCGTTCATCATGTCTACACAGGAAAGGAGAAATTTCTGGAAAATTCATGCCAGTTCTCAGTAACTTACCTTCAGAACAAGTGCCCAAGAACTCGCACGCACGCAATCCATGGAATTATATTTTTAAAGTAGTTTCGGTTTTAACAGCATTGTAAATTTTCTAAAAATTGCACTAAATTTGATGAGCCAGGCGTAGCCTAATGGTTAACGTGCGGGGCTGCGTATCTAAAGTTTCAAGGTTCAAGACTTGGCGCCACAGAACACACACTTTCAACTGTAGGCACGTTGTAAGCCTGTTATTCGGTGGCTAAAGCTGGACAAAGTTCTCGTGGAAGAGGGTACTACTAGCTGCCCGCTATTCTTCTGGTCAGTATTTCAAAATTAAGGCCCCCATATACCTGAACCTTGGGGACCTTTAAAATAGCAGTTTAGCGCATATATGCGTAAAGTGTCGTTAAGGTTGAACATTCCAATTATAACTCTATAGCTTGATTAAAAAGGTTTTGTGCTAGCACTCGTACTTCTAAAATCATTTAGCGATACTGCATACCGGTATCTATCAGATGAAGTTCACTTCTTTATACAGAACATAATGGCGTCGAGAATTTCCAGTGTAGAGTAATATCAATTCTATTGTCGGGATTGTGCCTTTAAAATATTTACAGTTTCATGCTGATTTCAGAAAATAATTAATGTTAGTAATTACTGTCAATACCTATCAAGTTTTAAGTCAAATATCAGTACACATCACGTTAAACTGTTGTAGAAAGTCATTAGTGTAAGTAACGTTTCTCCTCAGTCAATTATTACTGTCAATACTTGCCAAATTTTCAGTCAAATATTTGTACACATGACGTTAAACTGTTCTCGCGAGTCATTATTGATGGAAACGTTCCTTCTCAGCTAGTTCTTATTGTTATCTCTTTCCAGCTTTTCAGTCAAATTGAAATATTTTAGAAAGTTACTACTGTTCGTATTTTTAGAAGCCACTGGTATCGGAGTCTGTGATGATTATTAGATTCACAGAACTGTCTGAGCATTATATACACACACACGCACTATGAGTTTTTATTTCTGTTCTGAAATTTACCTATCTTTTATACAATATGAACTTAGTGTAAGCGTCACTCTGTTCATGTAACTTTTTTCGTGTTTAGTTACAAGTGAGGTTTATTACCTTCCTGGTACGTGTATACATGAGTTAACATGTTAAACAACTCTATCGTCAAGTAGGTTCTCCTATTCACTATTAGATTGGCAATTTTATCGACTTTTATCAGGTTATATATTATATTACTCTCAGCAAATGTATTTACAATGTTGTTGATCATTATTTTGCTACATATTTTTGGGTTACGAGGCCAGTCTATGCAAATGTTTACTAACCATGTCCTCTGGTTTGAGGAAGTTGCTAATATACAACAGGTTGGTCCACCAGTTTTTGCGACAGCCTTTTGCAACGACGTCTAATTTCTCGTGCCAGATGGGTCCACTTCCTATGACTGGTAGCACTATGACTATTCCAGACACCAAGATGAACGCCGGTGTTAACCTTAAATAAGTTATAATTTTTTGTAAACAATTATTACTTTGTTTGATTGCAATAGATAAACTAAACTTAAACATTCTCAATTCTAACTCTAATGTTAACACAAATGAAGACAACTATACACACTAACATTTACCTGAAATTTTAAGCGAGTGTATTTATATACAACTAATTCTGTTACTAATTTTGAGCTACTGACCAGAAGGAAGGCACTCAATCAGCAATTAAGTCAATAAAGACTATGGAAATCCATGAAGTCTCATTCATCTGGTTTTAGACGGTTCTTTCATAATTTAAAGTATATTTTGAAACATGTATGAAAGAAAATTTTAAGAACCACCTTCAGGATCTACCAAGTAACACTTTGAGACTTAAGTGGTGTACATTTTTTAGATTCTAGTAATGTCTGACGACTTTTTTGTATAGAATACATAATAAAAAACAAATAAAGAGTTTTATTATTAACGTTGTTTGGTGTTTGTTAGCACTCTATTACAATTGGCTATTATTGTATGTTTTAATAATATAGCTTTCAAAAAGAGAACAGGACTAGCCTAGTAAAGAGGCTAAATAATCACCAGAGGAAAGGCGTTCCAGTCCTAAACGTTGTGAATATTGAAACATCTATTTAACGTTAGCCATTTTTTGTGGTATAAGTTTTCCCAATTTTGTTTTCAAATTCATTATACCAGAGCGGTTTTTAGTTCATTTCTAATACCTCATCATATGGCAATTTGTAGGAGGGCGAGGGCTCCGCGATTGAGCCTACTCTTCCTACTACCCCAAGAGTAACCAGACTTATTGATCCTACAATAGATTTTATTAAATATATCAGTTACATACCCACCATCATTTATTCTCATTTCCTTCATGGGTATTACCGGACAAGCAGTCATTGAAGTTTGCGAGTTTACAGTTTCTTTAAACTTGGAGAAGTCATTAATAATGTAGTATATTTTAGAAACCTGATGTTGCGAGTACATGACTGTCATTACTTATCGACATTTGTAAGTTACGTTGTTTGTGTGTCAAAGTAACTGATTTTTAACGTGTTAACATACTGTATTAGCCATTGTCTTTATGATCATTGGTTAAATATTATTTATTGTGTTAATCTCCTTCAAACTCTTTTAATACAATCGGACAAAGTGAGACCAATATTTCTTTTAATGTAAAAAAAAAAAAATACAGTTACCATCGAGGGCACCCGAATAGTGGATTAAATAATTTATTATTTTACGGTTTACTTTTGTAATTCGTATCATCATGAGAATTTCAACACCTTTTGCAATCAAACTTTACACCAATGAAGACAGGACACTTTGCTGCAGGCAGCACCTAGTAGGTTGAGTTTGTGATAGTGTGAGTTGGAGTTTATTATTTTTGTACTTTATGTTTTCTTTCTTTGTGTGTTATATGTGTACGATGTAGCTTCTTTTCAAGCCAGTTGTTCTGAAAATTCAGTGGAAGATATGGAGTATTATCGCTTTCCTACAGATATAACATTAATACAGCATTTATATAGATAGATATATAAACGTGATACAATTATAATGTATCTGACTAATTATACAGTACATAATTATGGTTAACAACAAAACTGTGCACCTTTTTCAGACACATCGCTCGTAGCTACGTCTATTATTATAATACTCAGTTTTTGTCTGTCCTGAAAATGAGCGCGCACCTTACTATCTAAATTCGCGTGCATTTCAACGGATGTAAACAAAAGGCATAAGTAAATATACTTTAGTTGACATTTTGTACAACATATTAAAACCTTATAAAAATGTTTAAACAGGTGTTGCATCATCGAGGTCACGTGACTGGTGTGGCGCCACCTATATTCTAGAACTATCCTGTACCTTGGCGAATGCTCTAGTATTTACTAGTTTTTTGGGTTGCCTGGTATATAAAAGAGGGTGACAACGTGACGGTGAAATAATGTGTGTGTAGATAGAGAGTAATTGAACTGCCGTCAGAAGTATTGTTGACGTTCGTTGATATAGCGTTTGTTTTAGCGCGATTGTTGAAAATAAGTGTATCGTAAAGTTGTATTCGGAAAGAATAAACCAGTTTTATTAAGCAAGGACTTGTGTCGCTAAAGTTTCGTGGGAACGAAGTTACGGAAAGTTAATTAACAAACGGAGACGTAACACAGGTAACATAAGGTCGTAGAATAACATTAAAAGTTTATTTATTAATAATAATAAATACGGTAAACTTTAGGCTTAACTAAACTAAAGCAAAAAAATGTGCACAAGTTACAGTGTTAATTTATCCGTTTATCGAATATACGACTAACTTAATAAAGGCTTAAATGATATTAGGCCTAAGACTAGTAGACTTATAGATTTCAGTGTTTGCGATTAAATTCTGTATCTAAAAAAGTATTGTTGCAATAAAGATACTAATTTGACCGCAAACGTTTTGCGGTCTCTCCTATCTATTATAATAATTCATAGTTTTTGTATGTCCTGAAAATACGCGCGCGCTTCATTTCAACAAAGGTAAAAAAGAGAGAATGTAAATATATATTAGTAGACATTTTGTAGAACAGCAAACTAAAAGTTTATCAAAGTTTTAAAAAGGTCTAACATTAGGTCGTAGAATAACATTATAAGTTTATTTATTGGTAATATTAGGTACGGTTAAGTTTAGCCCTAGCTAAACTAAAGCAATAAACATGCACAAGTTACAGTATTAATTTATCCCTTTATCGAATATACGTCGTATTTAATAAAGCCTTAACTAATTTTAGGCCTAAGACTAGTGGACTTAGAGGTTTCAGTGTCTACGATTAAAAACTAAAATAAAGCAAAAAACGTACACACAAGTTACAGTATAAATTTATATCTTTATTGAATATAGGCCGTACTTAACAAAGGCTTAACGAATGTTAGGCCTATGACAAGTATATTAAATATTTTGGTGTCTGCAATTATAATTTTGTTGTATCATTCTAGAAATTCTGTATTTAAAGAAGTAATGTTGAAATAAAGATACTAATTTGATCTCAAATATTTTACAATCTCCTAGTATTTTGATGCTTACCTCCAATAACGATGAATGTAGAATTTCAGCAAATTGAAGCGACCGTCATTTTTTTCGAGTTTTCTTAACGTAATATGTGTAACCAGCAAGCCACTGCCATGATATTGGAAAATAAAAAGGAATCATTAAGAAGACTGCGAGATCAAAACTGAACTCTATTATGAGAAGTTCAAATTCGCAGATAAAGTTGTAAATTCTAAATCACAATAATATCTAGTGTTACCATTAATGTCGAAAATACCGCTACAAGCGAGGGTACCCAAAGCGTTCTATTAATTATATTATACGAAAAGAACGTAAAACAGTATATTTTACTACCCATATTCATTACTGGGCTGATATTTAGTTCTAGCTTATGAAGGTTGCTTAGTTAGATTAGAAGTTAATATTTATGGTTAATATATATATATCTAATATTTATTGTTGCCGTTGTTATTTTGGCACAAGGCAAAGCTACTCAATGAGCTATCAGCGCTCTGGCCACCGCGGAAAATCGAACTGACCAATTACGGGGTGGGGGTGGGGGGCATTTATATACAATGTTTAAAAGTACACAATAAATATTTAAAATGCTATTCCCAGTTTCAAAACAGAAAAAAATTGTTTTACTTAATAATTGTACTGTATAAAGATAAAATAAAATACTGGGAGACTGAAGAACAGTCTCATACACTCCATATGTTTTACGCTTTCTTTCTGTGTCATCTTCCATATGTTTAGTTTTTCATAAATCCGGTCTTATACAATGGAGGACACTGTTATAAGATAAAATAACAAGAAGTTTAAATTTCTCGCACTAGAATAGTAAATTATTATGATTGGCATATACCAGAAACCAACCTGATGAAGAAGAATGTATCCACAGCAAAGACAGTTTGAACAACCAACTGGAAACCTAAGTCTTTTCCCAGGTCAAGCACTTTCAGAAGAGCACCTTAAAAATTCAATTTTCAAACCTTTAAGATAATGCTGAAACGAACCCATTTATTCCTAAACTTTATAAAAACAACTATACCATATGAGTGAATCACGCATAGCCTGTGTTATTTATACACTTTCTTATATAATAAAATATATACAAGTACTTTACCGATTTTATACATGGATAATCACGTTAATGAAGTCTAACCACAAAATAAGTCGGAATATATAAATTTATTCATAGATAATGAATGGTCAACAAACGAAACCCGGAATTTCGAATAGGAAGTTAACTCCAAGGTTCCAGTGAACTATATATCGTTGTAGAGGGCGCCATTTTCAGATGGAAGATACACATCAAGAGTACTTCATAACTAGCAATTGACTATACACAACCCCACTATTATTACTTTAGTGAAGCTACGGGCCACTTCAACCACCTCCCTCCAAGAGGACGTTTGAATGTATTTTTTTTACATACCTAGACATAAGTTTGATCATAATCTAGTTGTTTGGTGAAAATGTTTGTGTGGATGTGATAACCTAACACAATAAACTAACACCATTCATCATCGCTCTGGTTGGCTGTTTGAACCTATTTATTCTGGTAGATTTGATTTGGTTATATTTAAGTTTTAAATTTGTTTTATGTTAAAGAAACCTTTGAAGTAATTGTATATAACTATACATCCTGGACTAAATAGTGTTTGGCTTAGTGAGAGTGTTGAAACTGATGCTATAGTTTAATGCAAACATGCACTGCAAAATGTTTTAACTGGTTAGACAATGTTGTACCCCAACATTCAAATTTCTCACTAAGAAATATTGTTGCAACTGTACTTATAGTAAAATATGTGAAACTTTTAGAACAACAAGTACATTTACAATCTTTATCGTTTATTTGCACTTTTAAAGAAAAACAGCACACATCATTTTTGAGATGTTAAACAACAAATTTTAAACTTATGATTATAAGATAAGAGATAACCACTATGATTGTAAGTGAAGAAGAAACAATGGTCATTGGCCTTACCCACTTGGTTGTAAGAGAGAAGATAATAGACGTTTCCTAGAATAATCCAGTTGATGCTAAATACTCTCATTCCATGAACCACTGGTAGATCGTTTTTACCAGTTTTTGTTGTCAGTGTGGTCCTCACGTTGGTGTACAGAGAAAAGCATATAAAAAAACCTAAAAGTTTGTCTGTGTACGAAAGAAAAAACATACAATTGTTCCTTTGTTCCTATTTCCTCCCTATAGTGAGAGTTTCAGTAATTATTTTTACTATATTTTCAAATGTCTTATAATTATATGTACTTTACATTTTGACAAAAAATTACTTATTTTGTCCCAAAAATGCCTAAGCCATACAACCGTGAAAGCTATAACACGTATGTTTTCTCCTAAATAAAAATTTTCAAAAATCACCAATCTTGTTATACACCATATACATAAAACTTGTAAATAATGAGCGCCTTCTAGGAGTTTGGAAACTTCATCTTCGCTAACAGTTCCAAACGTCGTTTCCAAGACCCCACAGGTAGATAAAACTCGTTAAGTTACTTATGATTTAATGTTTTGGAAAAAAGTTATACAGATACTAAATCATTTACTATGTTGCATTTCATTTCCTTCTTTTACTTAATCAAATTAACTTATTAAAACACGAATATTGTAAAACAAGGGGGAATCCTCAATAGCCGCAGCACTTGAAATTCTTCTGGGCAGGATTAGAGTAAATTAATGTACGAGCCTTTTTTTCGCCTTTTTATTTGCTATATTTTTGTGCACCAGCAATATCAAGCGTGGGGCGCGCATATAACCCGATTCAAATTTTATTACTCATCAGGATCTCTACCAGCTTACCCTCAAATTGAAATTATTTTAGGCACGATTAGGGTAAATTAATCTATGAGATCTTGGGTGTAGTCAAATACATCAATCGAAAAAGTTTGACTTCCTAAGTCCAAAACTGTAATTGTATCTCAAATCGGTCATGAGATGAAGGAGCTATGAGCTGAAAGTTTGTACTTGAAAAACAAAACCCAGGGTCGTTCTCTGAGCCTCTATGCCGCGGCTAAAATTTGGAAAAGTATTTTCAAATTTTATATCACCTTCATCAATAGCAATCTTTAACATATGTATATACAATCATTAAAGAGTAAAGAATAGTTGGCAATGTTATAAAAGAAGTAAAACTTAATGTTTATAAAAGGAGAAAATCCGAATAAATGTTTCATTTTGTATGTTATAATAACCTTATCAAAGGGATGGAATCTTTCAAACTAAATTATCTGAAATAGTAATCACATGAAACAATGGAGTCTATCTTACACATGGTCTGTTTACTTGAATCAGTGATATAATTTTTCATTTCCAAATGTTTGAAATATCTTTGGGCAGTTTCCACTACAGTTGCTAAGACAATCAGAGAGAACAGGAAGACGTTAAACCACCTAGAAAATGGTATTTAAAAAGTGAAATCTATCACTTTTACTTACTATAATATAGAAATAAAATAATTATGTTAAAAATGTCTAATTACGTACATTTATCTTAAAATAACAACTTAAGTTATTTGAAGTGATAAATCATTTACTCCTTTTCACTTAATTTAAGAAAATTGATAATTTTAATTTATTTATTCTCTTTAAAAACAAGCAAAATTACACCCTGGATTTGATATTTCTCTAGTAGACTGAACTATGTATGAAACTGTACACTAACGACATTAATAAAAAGACTACTTTTGTAGAAAACGCCATTTTTGGCATGAACAAAATAAACTGATCATGTGATATGTCACGTAATTGCTTAAACCTTACATATGCGTAGACATTTTTATATCATGGTTAATCTGCGATACAGTGGGTAAGATCTAGGAGGTCTCAAGAAGAGGTTTCCTCATTGAAAACCACTTCTTGAAACAGCTGTAGTCGCCAAGTTATGATGACAGACTCAGTTAAAAGACAACTTTTAGGCTTGTAAAGTGCAACATATATCAGTTTGTGTTCTATTTGACCTATTCCGCTAATACTTGTCACAGTTAGATTACATTACACATCATTTCACATAATACCCCCCCCCCCAAAAAAAGAGAGTTTAGAAATATGATTTTATTATATCTAAACTGAAAAGCTTAGTTTTAGTGGGGCTTAGAACGGTGTGGTCTGAGGAGTCGAATTTTACCATTTTCTGTACTTATGGTAGAGTAAAAATTTGGAGAAAATCACATTATATATTTGATATCCAGATTATACTTGAACGTTGATGTTGCTCATATCTACCACAAAATTTTACATCCAGAGCTTTTTCAAAATAATAACCCAATAAAAGGTTACATCTATAATTGTAAATTGATTTAAATCATTTTCCTTAGCCAACACAATGGGCAAGAGCCAGGATGCTTTGGGCTTTGTATCTGTATAATCCTAAATTGATTTCAATTATTTTCCCTAGCCAGCACAATGGGTAAGAGCTAGGATGCTTTGGGCTTTCAAAAGGGTATGATAGTAGACGTCCCTCAAACAAAAGTTTACTCATCAAAAATTTCACTTTAACCAGCTGTTTCAAGACATCTGTCGCCAGTTTATCAAAAGTGTCTATCGAAAGGAAAGATGTTTGCCACTAGGAAAAGCTGTAGCGGCTCACTACTGGTGATAGACTGATGTAAAACATTACACTCACAAGGTTTGTTTGTTATTAAGCACAAAGCTACACAAAGGGCTATCCGTGCTCTGCCCACCACGGGTATCGAAACCCGGTTTCTAGCGGTATAAGTTCGCAGACATACCGCTGTGCCACTGGGGGGCTCACTCACAAGGAAGATAACCTAGATTCTTATATTATTTTTCAGATATTCAAATTATATTGAAATTCAAATTGAAGTTTCAAAGTTATAACTAAATGTCAGGTGTAAACATTGCAAGGGAATATATTATTTGGATAGAAATCCGTATTGTACGAGGAATTTTTAAATCATCAAATATCTTATTTTTAAGGTTAACAAAAATTTTAATATACTTTTCTTTTTATATATTCTTTTCAGGCACATTGTCAAGAGTAAGAAACACAAAAACTGACGTTTTTGGCATATTGAAAGCTGAAGTCTTTATTATTAGTTACAATCGACTAGTTTCAGTAACACAATTACCATGTTTTGTAAATGTTGTATGTACAAGAACATTTAAGATATTCCTTATGTTAAAAAATTATTTTACAATTTTTGTAATAATAAAGTTTACAATGAAAGCAGATCATTTTGGTTACTAGCATAAAGGCGCCCTACGGGCGGCTGTTTGCGCTAGTAATTACTAACTGTATCAATACCTCATTGAAAAAAAGAATTTTAAAAGTGGACATTTTCTAAAATAGGATTTTTTTTTTCAGGAAAATACTACACGGGAAAAGTGTTCGGATTGTGTTCTTTAGTCATACGCAACTCATTGTATCAACCTGATTCACTGTACAGAGCTCAAAAGTTTCAGAATTTCGTACAAAGCTACACAAAGGCTAACTATGCAAAGCTATGCTTAATTTTGAACTGTTAAACTAGAGGGAAGGAAGCTAGTCAAAAGCACCCACCATCAAATTTGGACTACTCCTGTCCGATCATATAGTGAGATATGACCGTCACTAGTAGAGCTTATTCAAATATTCAGAGCTCATTCTACAGCAACAGGTCATGAATACTATATCCTCATATTTAAAGATACAATAATAATACCGATTCTGTTGGCCCGGCATGGCCAGGTGGTTAGGGCGCTCGACTTGCGATCCGAGGGTCGCGGGTTCG